GGAAAAGTCTGTTAACGTGTCTGGGGATGGAGCGGAAATCCTCCAGGGACATCTCCATGAAGCTCTCCTGGAGGTACTCCAAAAGCCTTGCCACAAGGTTTCTGGGCAGTGCAGCCTTATTCCGTCCTCCATGGTAGGACACTTGACCACGCCATGCTAGTAGCAAGTAATCTGGTAACATTGCATGACAAAGCCTGGCAGCGTATGGTCCCGGTGTTTGCTGGCATTCAAGCAACATCCGTTCTTTATCTCACTGTGTAATCCTCAGGAGAGTGATATCGCTCATGGTAACCTGGTTGAAATACGGGAATTTAATTAAGGGGACAGATGTGGCCGTTCCTACTGGGCTGTTTGCCTGTGGCTGAAAAGAAATCCTTCCCTGCGTTTAGCCAAGCGCAGGGGGGGAGGGAATTAGCCCTGAGCTTTTCGCGTTTGGCTAGCAGGGATCTTCCCTGATACCAGCCACGTGGTGGGGGGAGGGATAAAGTGATCATCCAGAGAATTGGATTGGGGAGGGGTTAGTTTGTTTTCTGCTGCTGAAGGTTAACAGGAAAACCGCAGCATTCAACGGGCTTTGCTTGGTATGTGGGAAAGGAGGGCGCAGAAGCCAAAAGACAATGGCTTACCATGGCCGTATGCAAGCCGAATTCTGTTGCCCGGACCTGCGTCTGTGATCTCTAGCAGCAAAGCCACAGGCACTCAATATTAAGAGGAAAAATGCGACCTTGCACAGAAATCACATGTGCTATGTAATGTGAATAGTGTTGGTCACCATGAAAGAGTATAAGCATTGTTCTCTAAAATGTATCTTTTTTTAAAAATTCTCTCCTTTTTTCCCCTCCCTCCAGCAGCTGCAAATTTTTCAAGCCTCCCTCCTCTGTCCCGAAAGCTATCTCAGATAAGGCGTCGGAAAAAGAAGACGCGAGACAAGATGTTCACGGAAATCATGGAATCCACCCGCAGTGAAAGAGCTCATCTGAATGAGTGGAAGGACGTGGCTTCTAAGTATAGGAAAGATGCCAGTGAACGTGAGGACAGGAGGGACCAACGTGAGGAGAGGAGAGACGCTCGAGATGAGAGGTGGCGTCAGGAAGATCAGAGGAGGCAGGATGCAACGCTGGGGCTGCTGCGTGAGCAAACAGACATGCTCCGGCATCTGGTGGAGCTTCAGGAACGGCAGCAGGATAACAGAGTGCCGCTACAGCCCCTATATAATCCCCCTCTCCCCTCCCCATGTTCCATAGCCTCCTCACCCAGACATGTAAGAACACGGGGGGGCTCTGTACACCCTCCCATTCCACCCCAGTGGACAGCCCAAGCAAAAGGCTGTCATTTTTTTAACCGTTTTTTTTAGTGGCCTTTTCCTTCCCACCGATCCTCCTCCCAAACCCCACCCAGGTTATCTCCCTCTTTTTATAATCAATTAATAAAGAATAAATGATTTTTAAACGATAGTGACTTTATTTCCTTTGAAAGCAAGCTGGGGGAAGGGGGAGGGTGGGTTCCTTACAGAGAATGAGTCAATAAAGGGGGCGGGTTTTCAGCGAGGAGAAACAAACAGAAATTTCACACTGTAGCCTGGCCAGTCAGGAAACTGGTTTTCAAAGCTTCTCTGATGCGCAGCGCTTCCTGGTGTGCTCTTCTAATTGCCGTGGTGTCTGGCTGTGCGTAATCAGCAGCCAGGCGATTTGCCTCAGCCTCCCACCCTGCCATAAAGGTCTCCCCCTTACTCTCACAGAGATTGTGGAGCACACAGCAAGCAGCAATAACAATGGGGATATTGGTTTGGCTGAGGTCTGAACGAGTCAGTAACGATCGCCAGCGACCTTTTAAACGGCCAAATGCACATTCTACCACCATTCTGCACTTGCTCAGCCTGTAGTTGAACAGCTCCTGACTACTGTCCAGGCTGCCTGTGTATGGCTTCATGAGCCGTGACATTAAGGGGTAGGCTGGGTCCCCAAGAATAACTATTGGCATCTCAACATCCCCAACGGTTATTTTCTGGTCCGGGAAGTAAGTCCCTTGCTGCAGCCCTTTAAACAGATTAGTGTTCCTGAAGACATGAGCATCATGAACCCTTCCCGGCCAGCCCACGTTGATGTTGGTGAAACGTCCCTTGTGATCCGTAAGTGCTTGCAGCACCATTGAAAAGTACCCCTTGCAGTTTATGTACTGGGTACCCTGGTACTCCGGTGCCAAGATAGGGATATGGGTTCCATCTATCGCCCCACCACAGTTAGGGAATCCCATTGCAGCAAAGCCATCCACTATGACCTGCACATTTCCCAGAGTCACTACTTTTCGTAGCAGCAGCTCAGTGATTGTTTTGGCTACTCACATCACAGCAGCCCCCACAGTAGATTTGCCCGCTCCAAATTCATTCCCGACTGACCGGTAGCTGTCTGATGTTGCAAGCTTCCACAGGGCTATCGCCACTCGCTTCTCAACTGTGAGGGCTGCTCTCATCTTGGTATTCTGGTGCTTCAGGGCAGGGAAAAGCAAGTCACAAAGTTCCATGAAAGTGCCCTTACGCATGCGAAAGTTTCGCAGCCACTGGGAATCGTCCCACACCCGCAACACTATGCGGTCCCAGCAGTCTGTGCTTGTTTCCAAGGGCCCAGAATCGGCGTTCCATGGCTAGAACCTGCCCCGTTAACAACATGATCTCCAAAGCACCGGGGCCCGTGGTTTGAGAGAATTCTGTGTCCATGTCAATGTCCTTATCACTCTTGTCGCTACGTTGCCGTCGCCGCCGCCGCCTCCTCTCCTAGTTTTTCTGGTCCTGGTTCAGCATAAACTGCACGAGAACGCACGAGGTGTTTACAATGTTCATGACTGCTGTCTTGAGCTGAGCGGGCTCCATGCTTGCCATGGTATGGAGTCTGCAGTGTTCACCCAGGAAAAAAGGCGCGAAATGGTTGTCTGCCGTTGCTTTCATGGAGGGAGGGGTGAGGCTGTACCCAGAACCACCTGCGACAATGTTTTTTGCCCCATCAGGCACTGGGATCTCAACCCAGAATTCCAATGGGCGGGGGAGACTGCGGGAACTATGGGATAGCTATGGGATAACTACCCACAGTGCAACACTCTGGAAATCGACACTAGCCCCGGTACATGGATGCACGCCGCCAAATTAATGTGCTTAGTGTGGCCGCATACATTCGACTTTATACAATCTGTTTCCAAAATTCGAATTCTGTAAATTCGGATTAATCCCGTAATGTAGACATACCCTTTATTTTTTTTTAAACACCTTCCATTGTGTTCATAGTTAGTTCAACTCCAGAAGAAATTATCAGATCATATAGCCTGAGTTCCTGTATATTACAGGCCACTAACACCATCCAGACGTCCACACACCTAAATTCAACAATTGAAATTAGACCAAAGTGTTACAACCCTCAGGAGACTGTTACTGTGCTCACAGGAAGAGGATAGGAGAGACTGAGATGTACCAATACCTAAGGCCCATGCAATGGCAGGGAATTAAGTGAAAGATACCCAGATGATCCTCGCAAATTACCTTTGCCCCAAGCTGTAGAGACTAAAAAACCCCCAAGGTCTCTGCCAGTCTGACCTGGGGGACAATTTCCTTCCCAACCCTACATATGGCGATCAGATTCTGAGCAAGAATCTGAGAGAGAATTCTCAATACCATTTCAGAGCACTGGCCCACCCTGCCCTGTGTCCTATCTCCATCTGTAGCTATCTGATGCTTCAGAGGAAGGAGATCCAAAAAATGCATTTGGGGAGGGGAGAGAATGTCCCTTCCTGACCCCTGCAAGTGATCAGCTTAAGCCCTGAAGCATGAGCTTTAGGAACATAAGACCTAAACTGGAAGGGGACTCCAGGTTGGCTGAGCCATGCCCCCCCTCTTCCTCCCCCTCCCCCCCATCCCGAACATCCCTATCATACAATCCCACTCCTAGAGCTTGACAAGCTCTTTCTTAAAGCTAATTAGGATGTTTGCCCCCCAAAATCCTATTGGGAGGCCATTCCAGAAACTTAACTCTTCTGATGGTTAAAAACCTTATAATTTCCAGCCTAAATTTATTAATGGTCAGTTTATATCCAATTGTCCTTGTGGCACTATTGTTCTTTAACTTAAATAGCTCCTCACCTTCCGTGGTTTTTACCTCCTGATGTATTTATAGAGAGCAATTCATATCCCTTCTCGGCCTTCGTTTTGCTAGGCTAAACAAGCTAACCTCTTAGTCTCCTCTCATAAAATAGTTGTTCCATCTTATCTTACAGGCCATGCCCCCATCTAATGTACTCTGATTTCATACAATCTCAATGCTAGCATGTGTCTTTTCTCTACAGTTTCTGCCATTTTAAACTAGTTTTCCCACTGTTCATCTGCTTCCAAAAATCTCATCTTGAAACCACACTTCTCCCTTGCCTGGCTAAAGAGGAGACAGCAATGGTTGTACTGAGGGGTGAATTATCGTTCTGCAGGGAGATTACTAGTAGGAGTTCCTCAGGGATTGGTTCCAAGACCAATCTTGTTCAATATTTTTCTGAATGACCTTGGCACAAAAGGTCGGAGTGTACTAATGAAACTTGCTGATACAAAGTTTGGAGGCCCCATCAGTATGAAGGAGGATCAGTATGTTATACAGGAAAATCTGGATGACCTTGAAGATTGGAGTGACAGAAATGGGATGAAATTCAATAGTACAAAAATGTAGATCATGAATTTAAGGTCTAGTTTCTGCTACAGTCTGGAGGCACATCAGTTGAAAACAGAGGAGGATAGACCTGGGGGTGTTGGTCGATCTCAGGATGACAGTGAGCTACCAGTGTGATGTGGCTGCAAAAATAATTTTCATGCAAAAGGCCAATAATGGAGCTCTAGGGAGCCCCTCGCAACAGAGGGAGGAGGTGGACCAACTAAAAATGAACAAAATGCTAATTAATGCAGTGTAAATGCAAAATATTCCACAAATTTAGAACTTATTTTACAATGTAAGACTTTTCTCTTCTTGTATTATTAGGTTATTATTGAAGTGACAGAGATGTTGCACAATGCCAGCTTACTCATAGATGACATTGAAGATAACTCAAAGCTACGACGGGGCTTTCCGGTGGCTCATAGCATCTATGGAATTCCATCTGTAATAAATTCTGCTAATTATGTGTATTTCCTTGGTCTGCAGAAGGTTTTAACACTTGATCACCCAGAAGCTGTGAAAGTGTTCACTCGTCAGCTGCTGGAACTCCATCAGGGCCAAGGTTTGGATATTTACTGGAGAGATACATACACCTGTCCTACAGAAGCAGAGTATAAAGCCATGGTACTGCAAAAGACAGGTGGTCTCTTTGGATTAGCTGTGGGCCTCATGCAGTTGTTCTCCAATTATAAAAGAGACTTAAAACCACTCCTTAATACACTTGGGCTCTTCTTCCAAATACGAGATGACTATGCTAATTTACACTCCAAAGAATATAGTGAGAACAAGAGTTTTTGCGAAGATTTAACTGAGGGCAAGTTCTCATTCCCAACTATTCATGCTATTTGGTCCAGACCTGAAAGCACTCAGGTGCAGAATATTTTGCGTCAAAGGACAGAAAATGTAGATATAAAAAAATACTGTGTACATTACCTTGAGAATGTAGGTTCCTTTGAGTACACTCGGCAAACGCTGCAAAAGCTTGAATCTGAAGCATATAAACAGATTGAGTCACTTGGGGGAAACCCTGAACTTGTAGCACTAGTTGAACACTTAAGCAAAATGTTCAAAGAAAATGAAAATTAACTAATTGATTTGACTTGTGGTTTGGGGAGGGAAACTTTAAAACCAGAATGTATTAACTAGACTTTCGTACTAAATCGATGTAAAGAAAAGTGTAAAAATGATGCTTATTTAAAATTACTTATAGAAACTGCTATATTAGATATTGTGTAAGTAGTAATTGAAGGGTATTTGTATGCACCACAAATTCTCTGCAGCTTTAATTACAACTGCTTACAAAATATTGCATAGAGAAATAAACTTGCATAGATCTGTTAAGGTAAAATTGTTAATTTTAGTTTTTCATGTGAATCTTTCAGTTGTAATCTCCACTGCACAGTCATTGGTGTTTATTTTAGCTATAGAGTTTGTGTCCTCTAAGAACACTGCAGGTTTTAATCTGGTTGAGATAGGATTGACTAAATTTCCATATTAAATTGAATTTGCTCTGTTTAGGAGCTTTTGTATTTTTTTTAAACATGGAGATTTAGGTAACACTTTTTTGCAATATATTCCTTGTCCTTTTTAAAGTTAACAAAAATAGGTTTTATTAAAGTGGAATGGATGGAGAAGAAAGGCTCCACAATGGTCAATGACTTTTTCTGTACAACAAACCAATCTAGATGTGTCGCCACAGAGGCAGATGTGGGGAACGATGGTATACTAGGCAAATCAGTGTTGCCAAATGGATTTGAAATCATGAGTTATTTTTAGTCTGAATCATTCAGAACATTAGTTTGGCCAACAAGGGCACAGGCATTGTCCATTCAAGTGGCACTAACACTCTGGTCTGATATACCACCTTAGTACCAATTTCTTGATAGTCTCCTTTAGGTAATTTAGTTAAGAATAAGTGGAGTATTTACTTCCTTTGTACTTGTGATGGAATCTCTTAAGTATTAGAGCAGACTAGTTTGGTTATATCAAATCAGATGATTTTCTGACTTAAAGATATGTCAAACCTGCACCAATAGCCAAAAGCTCATATTGGATGTTAAAGCTGGCACGCAAGTTTAAAAAAAAATTTCATTGGTGACAGTTTCAAAAAAACAAACATAAAAACAGATTAACTGCAAATAGTAACATAGCAAATGGTCACCTAGTGTCTTTAGTTACCTCCGTGCTTCAGATATATTGCCAAAAATTCTCCTTGTGATTTAATGTCTTAAACTTTAAATGTAATTGAGAAAATATGTATGCACACAATCCCATAGTTCTAATTTCAATTTCTGGGTGGCCGTAGGGCCACGTCTATATTATAAAACATGTCGACTCAAGTTACGTCGACATACTGCCACCACAGTTAGTACATCACTTGTGCACATGTGTAGTTGGCTCCTTGTGTCGGCGGTGCACATACTCACCAGGGGGCTTGTATTGATAGAGTGCAGTGTAGCTATCCCACTGTGCAGTCCAGCACAATGTCTTTTGGGAAGTTTTGGCAGTGAATGAAGGGACTAAAATAAGTCATGCAGGGGTGACTAGGAGCATGGGGTCAACCTCCCAGTTTGCTAATGACTCGCAGGCTACCATCTCTGACAGTAGCATGGAACCTACACGGCTCTGCTCTGTTGTCATGAGCGTTGCAAGCCCAGGGTACGCAATCCTGGAATATTTGCAGAGCAACAAGAAGAACTAAATGAGTGGGGAACATGACTGTTCCTTGGAGGACAGATTGCTGTGGGGCATAGTGAGAACCAGTTCAAAGTTATTGGCATTAATGGAGCAGCTGCAGATGGTGGAGCGCCGTTTCTGGGCCCAAGAAACAAGCACTAACTTGTGGGATCATAAGATTTGGGATGATTAGCAGTGGCTGCAGAACTTTCAGATGTGCAAGACCACATTCCTGGATCTGTGCACTGAGCTTGCCCCAGCCCTCTAGCGCAAGGACACCAAAACGAGAGCTGCACTGATGGTGGAGAAGCGAGTGGCAATTGCACTATGAAACTTGCTATGCCAAATTGATTCCTGACTGACCGTAGCAATTTGAAGTGAGGAAATCCACCATAGTGGCCCTTAATTGCTGCCTCCTATGCAGGACTGTGACTTTAGGCAATGTGCAGGACATGATGGATGGATTTTCAGCAATGGAATTCCCAAACTGCGGTGGAGTAATAGATAGCATGCATATCCCTATTTTGGCACTAGAGCACCTTGCCGCTGTACATCAACAGAGGTGGCTACTTTTCTATGGTTATGCAAACATTGGTCGATCACTGGAGATGCTTCATTGACATCAGTGTGGGCTGGTCAAGGAAGGCACATGACACTCATTTAGGAACACAGGGTTGTTCAGAAAGCTACAAGAAGTCTCCTTTCTGACCAGTGGATTACCACTGGGAACATTCAAATGCCAATACTGATCATGGGTAACCCAGCCTACCCCAGGCACCTCAACAGCACCAAGGAACGGTTCAACTATTGGCTCAGCAAGTGCAGAACAACAGATGAATGTGCTTTTGGCCATTTGAAGGGTTGCTGACATTGTTTACTTGCAAGATGGGACCTTGGTGAGAAAAATATCCCAATGATTATACTATATGCGGAGTCCTGCATGCTATATGTGAAGTGATGGGGAAAAATTTCTACCAGAGTGGAGGGCAAAGGTGGAGTGACTGTCTCCTGAATCTGAACAGCCAGATACCAGCAGGGCCAGCTTTAGGACCTGCAGGGCCCGATTCGAATACCCGGCGGCAGTCCGGGTCTTCAGCACTTCGGCGGCGGGGGGTCCGCTCCACATCTTCCGCGGCACTGAAGAACCCCCGCCGCCAAAATGCCGCTGAAGACCCGGAGCGGACCCCCCGCCGCCAAAGTGCCGCTGAAGACCCGGAGCGGACCACCGCCAAGTGAATATGAGTAAAAAAAACTTAAGGCGCCTAAGGTGCAGGGCCCTCTTAGGCGCAGGGCCTGATTCCGGGGAATCGGCCTAAAGCCAGCCCTGGATACTAGGGTCCTTAAAAGAGCTCAATTTAGAGGTATATGGCTCAGAGCCTTTGAAAGACCATTTTACCAACGAGCCAGCATTTTGTAGTGTTCTCTACCTGGCCATGTTTTTTGGTGGCCTGGTAGGAGTCATGTGGTGACTGCTGTATGTCTGTGTACCTAGTAATTTTGTTTGTAAATGATCCTATAAGTTGTGTGACACTATGCAATAACAGCTAATTGATAATGTTCAGAACTGCTGATCCCTTGGCAGCATATGTTGTGAATTAATAAAGATGAATTATGTTCCAAATAATAGAGTTGTATTATGTAACAAAATCAGTGCAAGAAATGGGCAATTTTAAAACAAATACATTTAAAAAATTAACAAAACTGAATCCATTAAGAAAGAGCGTATGAAACGGAAATGATATTCATGTCTGTTTCATTTATACATATACACACACTGCCATATGGAAGCCACAGTTCATGTGAAGCTGTGATTGTCTTTAATGGCCCACAAGGAGCAATGATAGGGATAGTGCAGTGATCTCTGATGCCATGTGACATGTTGGGGCGGGGAGAGCAGCAAATAGGGTGGTCCTGATTGAGTTCTCAATGGGCTGCAGAGGGACACAAACCTAGGATTGTTGGACCTGCAAGTCCACCAGAGTTTACTGCATCTGTGTTTGCTGCCTGAAAAGTCCCCTTACGTCCTGGTGCATTTCCTTCTTCTGCTGGGACTCCTGGGCCTTTCTCCTGTCCACTCTTTCCTTCTGCTCAGTATTCATCATCCAGGCCCTGTGCTCATTGTTCAATGCAGCACGGGCATGCAGATCTCGTTGAACAAGTCCCCTTTTCTCCTTACTGGCTCAGGCGTCCCAGAGGTGTAGAGGGAGAGACCCTGGAGACTGCAGTGACAGCAGCTGAAGATAAAACACAGAGGTCAATTGTCAACGTATTCACTATAGAAACAAACTTAAGATGCTGAACTTGCTCCCTTTGTTCCCCTAAAGTTTTAAGACTACATTCTCACATCTGCTTGGAATTGCCTGTGTACTGTGCAAGTCACAGCATGAGCCTGGGTGAGTGTGGCCCACCAGGAGTTGGGGAAACGAGGACATTGCTGGCTTGCATGATTCTAGTAGTAAAAGGCAGTGAATATTGGTGCCATTTCCCACAGGCAGTGGTGATTTTAGCTGATATAGCACTCCTGAAGGTAACACAGGCAGAGCAAGCACAGCTGCTGCTGGCATCCCGAAGCCACCGGTCCACACAAGCTACTAGCTTGTGTACTGCAATGGTGCCTGCTGAAGTTGCTGGTGAATGGCTGGGAAAGTGTCCTACTATGGAGGAAGAAATAAGGCATTCCTCTCTAAAACATTTTGGCTGAGGATTACAGACTACCTGTGTGAACTTTTCATCAAGATCTCTCAGGAGGATTGAAGGGACATCTATGTATGTACAAAATGAGTTAGCAGACCACCACAGCAGGTCGTTTCAAGTCCACAAGTGGTCCCTTTGCCTGGATATCGCATTTTTAATCTTCCAGAGGTGGGGCTTTCCCCAGATAGACCTATTTGCCATGCGACACAACAGAAAGTGCCAGCAGTTCTGCTTCTTCCAGAATCACAGCCTAGGTTTCAGAGCGGACACATTCCTCCTTCCATGGGAAGGCCATCTCCTTTCCACCCATATCGCTCATTCATAAGGTACTCCTCAAGATCCGGAGGGAACGAGTTCAGGTCATATTAACAGCACCAGCCTGGCCCCGTCAGCACTGGTACACCTCTCTCCTAGACATGTCCATGGAAGCACCCTTCCACTCTTCCCAGACCTTCTGACGCAAGATCACTGTCGTCTTCAACATCCGAACCTTGTGTTGCTTCACCTCACAGTGTGGAAGCTCCATGGTTGAACCCAATGGAGATTTCCTGTCCAGAACAGGTTCGACTGTCTCCTTGGCAGCAGGAAACCCTCTGCTAGAGCCACCTACCTTGCCAAGTGGAAGAGATTTTCAGTCTGGTTAGCGCAGCACTATTCATGCTCGACACTAGCCTCAGTGCAGCTCATTCTGGATTACCTCTTCCATCTGAAGCAGCGGGGGCTTTTGTTGTCCTCAATAAGAGTGCACTTAGCCGCCATATCGGCCTTCCATCCGGGCGCGGGGGGGCCACTCTGTTTGCTAATCCTATGATCAGCCAATTTTTAAAAGGGCTTGACAAGCCCCACATCCCTCCTGGACCACCTTGGGGTGCTGCCCCTCACCCAGGGAACCCCACTCCCCTGAGCCCACCTCACGTCAGTGATCCACTGCCAGTCCTCATCTAGCCCCTTTACTCAGAGGTAAACTGCAGTCTGCAATGGCCACTCATCATTGGCTAGGGGGTTAGACCTGCTGCCTTTCCCTACAGCCCCAGTACTTCCTTAGACCTTCCTGTCAGGCCTCAGCCTGGGAGGTTGCCAGGCTTGAGCTCCCCAACTCAGCCTGCCTCTTCCCCAGCACTGCTTTATTGAAGGTTTCCTGTGTTCCCAAGCAGCCCAGTTCTTCCCACCCCAAGGCTGGAGTGAGACTGCCTGCCTCCTAGCTCACAGCCCTTTTTATACCAGCCCTACCGGACCCGGATTGGCTGCTACCTGCGCTGCCCTGATTGCCTCCTCGGGGCAGCCCTTTCCCAGAGCTTGTTTTAACCCCTTTCTGACTGGAGCGGGGTGATCACCCCACTACCCTAAATTGCACTCCACCGGCAAGGAGCAGAGACTTCATTCTCTGGATGTCCGCAGGGCGCTAGCCTTTTACATCGAGAGAATGTTGCCGTTCAGAAAATCGGTCCAGTTATTCGTGGCAGATCTGAAAAGCTCTGCGTGTGTCATCACAATGCATTTCGTCATGGATCACGTCCTGCATTCGTGACTGCTACAACCTGTGGCGGTTTTCGCACCCCCAATCACTGCGCACTCTACCAGGGTGCAGGCTTCATCAACAGCGTTCCTGGCGCAGGTCCCCACTCAGGAAATCTGCAGAGTGGTGATGTGGTCCTCCATGCACACTTTCACCATGCACTATGCGATTACCCAGCAGGCCAGACACGATGCGGCCTTTGGATGAGTAGTACTCCAATCAGTGGAAGACTCCAACCCTATCTCCTAAACTTAGGCGTGTGCATCATCTGATTGGAATTGACATGAACAAGCACTTGAGTAACCATTTTTTCTTCATCTTCTCGTAACTGTTGTTCTTCGAGATGTGGTGTTCATGTCCATTCCAATACCCATTCTCTTACCCCTCTTTCAGAGTAGCCGGCAAGAAGGAACTGAGGGGGTGGTGGGTCGGCAGGACTCTATATTGAGTGCCATGAAGGCATGACTCCTGGGGGTGCTCAGGCTGACCGGACGGGAGGCTGCTATGGGAAAAATCTTCTGGCTACCGTGCACAGGCACGCACCTGATTGGAATGGACATGAACAATGCATCTCGAAGAACAACCGTTACGAGGTGAGTAGCCATTTTTTAGCTGTGTTGAGCAGCAGCTTTCTTACTACAATTAGGATGAGAAACCACCCAATGAATTTTGCCCTGGGAAAAATAAAATGAGTTAATGTTTTATATTTATAGATCATTACTGTCAGGTACAAAGGTCACCTTCCAGAAACTTCTAGATTCTAAAACCAAGCTCCCAAAAACTTAACTCCACATACTTTCTCCTCTTCCTTATCTAATTACAGCTGGATTTATGGACTAGGCATGATCTCAATCACCACCCATTTTCTTCCCGTCCTCCAGGCATTTTAGACATTTTCCAAACTTACTGTTTCCTAATGGCTAGAGCAACAGCCTCAGTGCTGCTGTCGTTCCTTCCCTTTTTGCTTCGATTCTACAGATTGAAATAGAACCTAATGTTTCCAATATTTAAAAAAAAAAATCTCATGTCTCTTGAATATGTTTTGTACATGAGTGACAAAAGTGCAAAGAATGAGGGAAGAGACTGAAGTGTTTTCTCCAAAAATCTTTTCACTCTAATTTACCTTTGCATAATATGCTTAAATGCTTTGCTGAATGAGGACCCGAATGGTGTGCTATGCGTTTCTTCTCCCACTTCCACACTAAACCTTGGCTCCGCCCCCACCTCCTCTCAAGGGTTAACCAGTTAACCCAGCCAATGAATTTCCTGCTTTCTTGTGGCCAGTAAAGCTCCAGCAGCAGCCTTTCCCAAAAGGGCAACGCAACCTCCTGCGGCATTATATGCTATTTAATTTTCACTGTAATATAAAATACTAAATGTGGGATTTAGAAATGCACTTGCCATTAGAGAACTTCACTCTTTTTGTCAACCTTTTTATTATTGGATCAGTTCTAATTACTGTACACTTAGCAAATGTGAACCCCTATCAAACGTAATAGCTGTACATGGGGCTCAGTAGATGGTACATCTCTTCTTTATTCTAGCCTTCGTTGCTCTGCCTTCTCAAGGTTATAGGCAAATTCATTTTCAAGGAGCTACCTCTGCATTTAAAAAAAAAAACTGTTTGAAAGCAGTAGCACATAAGTGTTCTGTCTGGAACAATGGAAGCTTTTGCTGGATGAGGATTTAAATGGAACTCCTCTAACTGGGCTGTGAGGATTTACTGTTTCAGGAAAGGGATATTGATTTTTTTTTTGTTTCTTTTTTCCTGTACTGAGCTACCCAGAGGTGAAGAACACCTTCCTGCGGAGAGATTGGTCTGATATATCTTCATTAGCTGCAGCTCTCTCCTTATTTGAAGCCAAGTGAGAGCAGTTCATCTAGCGTAGTGTTTCAGTGCTAGCTCCTTCCTCTGGAAGAGCCAGAATGAAACCAATCACAGTACTTAACCTGTTTCAGTTGAAAGGGAGAGAGAACTTTAAAGGACACACACATCCTGCCGCTAGGAAAGACTACATGGTGTGTAAATTATGCAGAACTCCTCCCTGTGTTTATAAAATTGTGTTGGAAGACAATAGGTATTACACTTAAAATTACCCAATTCATAAATTATCAGCTACTGGTTACATGTAACTGTCATACAACTAGCTTTTCCTGGTCATGATTAAAACTAGGGCAAAAATCAGTGAATAGTGAAGATAGTTACATAACTATATTCCAATTTTTGCTGCCAGAAAAACAATCTGTTCCATGCTGTCTGGATAATCTTGTGTAAGATTAACATCTTCCCTTACAACCAATTAATGGAAATCAAATTTGAAACTTGCTTCAGTCAGTTTTGTGTTTGACCAAGAGACGAATGAGTGGAAGATGAGAAAATCTGACAAAGGTATTGCTAATCCAGCCATACT